AGAGACAAGTCTGCTTCCACTGCCGAGTTTGTGACTGCAGTGAGTTGGGTTCAAACCACAGACTGAATATAGATGGACAATGCTAACATAGAGTGTTTATAGATTAACAATGCTAACATGCAACCTCAATGAAGCCCACTAGGGAAGTCATGGAAAACGTTTTTTTTCCAACTTGCTCTGACTTCTATTGACATTTGACGTACTTTGATGTGTATTTTTGTATGTTGGTGTTTTATTTATCCATGTTTTTCATTGAATTTTAATCTGTAGCACCTTGAGGTTTGGTGGAAATGTAAGATGCATTTTAAAATAAAATGTATTACTATTATTATTATTATTAAATATTGAATGGCTCCTTACATTGAAAAGCAGATATAATTTGCATAAATATGGCAATCGAGAACAACTATAGACAATAAGGCAAAACAATACTCTAGCCAGTAAACTTGACTTTTCTGCCACTGGGTTTCAGAGGTTCTGTTAGTGGACATTTATCAAAATTCATGGACATTGGTCTCTCCCTATGGACCATTACATACAGTATGTGTTCTATATTTTTGAACTGTTTGATTGTCTGATCTGTGTTGGTGATTTCAACGGTTTTGTTGAGTCCTCTGAGATGACTACTGTTGTGATTTAGGACTATAGAAGAATAAATTGAATTGAATAAACTAAAAAATGTATAGAAACATGATGTATCCTCTACATAATTACTTACACATGAGCAAATACTAGAACTAGCACTAGAAATTGTATAGTAGCAGTTATTGAAACTAAGTAGTAGCAAAATGTATGGAAATAAAATAGAAGTAGTAGCAGTAGTAGTAGTAGTAGTAGTATAGTAGTAGTAGCAGCAGTAGTAATAGTAGTAGTACTAGCCGCAGTATTAGTAGTAGTTATCTAAGTATTAGTGGGTTTTTTTGTCACCCTGACTCCAGCTCCTGCACTGCTCTGTTCTTTTATTTTCAGAATAATTATTCAAATGAATCTCGCAACATTAGGAGACAGAGCCGTAATAACCGCAGCGTCGGCTTTTCACACCAAGACTTTTTTTTTTTATTATTCAACACTTTGTCAAGAAAGAAAATTACGCTTTAAAAGCTCTCTTTTCAGCAATCCGTTGTTAATGAGTCACATATGTGAGATTAACCAGAGGATTGATGTGTGAAAAAATCTGCGGGAATGAGCTGAGAAGCACGAGAAAGACCTGGTGAGATGTGAGAATTATCTTGAAAGTCAATTAATATTAATAGAAACAGGAATGGAAAACTAGATTTTAATTTTTTTCTCTTGTTTTGAATCTGTTTTCACATTTCTAACCATATACTGTATATTTTTTGTATTGTTATCACTTTCTCTCTCTCTTTCTCTGGTTTCTCTCTCTCTTTCTCTGGTCTCTCCCTCTGTGCACCCTCTGGCCTCTCTATCTGGCCTCTCTCTCTGGTCCCTCTTTCTGGTGTTTCTCTCTCACTGGTCTCTCTTTCTGAATTTCTCAGACCTACAACCAACAGGTTTGACATCTTTAGTCTCTCTCACTTCAGCAATCATGAGTTCAGGTGGTTAGAATATAAAGTGTTTGTGAGGGTTTTACAGCTTTCAAAGCTTTCACTTTTTGCTTCTTATTTTTAGAACATATCACCCTTTGCAATTGCATTCAGACTGCGACAAGCAGATAAATAGTTTCCAAAATAGCCCTAACCTAATCCTCAAGTCCATCATGGTCCCATCACTATCCCAGCAGGGCTTTAGAGCAGACCAGTCGGGTCTGTGGGACGGGACCTCCTGATGGGACAGAGCTTTGACCACTTAGAGACCGATCAAGCCTGGATTATAATAGACTACAGCAGGATTATCAGTCACGGAAGATTCGAATTAAAAGCGAATCAAGAAAACAATGTAATCTGAGACAAGAGAAAGCCTTATTATTCAATAGGTAAAGTATACGGCTATTGTTGCTATTACTGCTACTACTACTACTTCTACTGCTGCTTCTGCTACTACTGCTTCTACTACATATACAACAACTACTGCTACAGCTATTACTACAAATTTCAATATGTGATTTTTTATTTCTATTACATAATGTTTTGCCAATGTGGTAAAAATAATAATACAAATAATAATTCTACAAACATTTCCACTCAACCTATTCAATATTCAGCAAATCCATCGCAAGTTTAAAACCGGATAATACAAGATTTTTACAGTGTACATATAAATTCAGTGAGGAATTTGATGTGAAAAAATACTGCTCAATATTCAAGTTTCAAAACTATTTTTATTTTTTTTCCTCCAAAACATCTTATAAAAGACTGTGCTGACATTGCAAGTATAATTCATGTGCTGCTCGAACTCTCACAATATCCTTCACTCGATTTCACAATTTTTGCCTAAATTTCGATTTATTGCCCAGCTGTTTAGAATAAATGTATGCATAGTTACAGCGCTGTCAAAGCTAAAGCTGTGACTCAGCACCCAAACAACACATTCTCTCACTTTCTAATTTCATTTTTCCCCCTAGCAACCGGCAAGGCAACGCACTCTCCTCTCGCGGCGAAGCGTCTGCAGATTAGCGTCAGATTACACCCCGGCCCCAGACCCAACAAGCTCCAGTCCAGTAAAGCCAGGGGGAGTGGGTTGGAGGTGTGGGAAACTCCGGAATGACTGGGAAATGAAGATATGTTGTAAGGAAAATCTAGGGTTTTGTTTGATCCTATCCTGCTTCATGTTGTAAAATCAATGTATATGTGAGAATTTACTTGAAACCTGGTTTAGACGTGGTGTAGATCTGGTTTAGACATGGTTTAGACCTGGTGTAGATCTGGTTTAGACATGGTTTAGACCTGGTGTAGATCTGGTTTAGATCTGGTTTAGATCTGCTTTGGACCTGGTTTAGACTTGGTTTGGACCTAGTTTAGACCCATTTTAGATCATGTTTAGATCTGATTTGGACATGGTTTAGATAGATCTGGTTTAGACCTGGTTTAGATCTGGTTGATACTCAATCGACAGCAAAACCAAGTAGACTGTTTAGTGTTCACTTCCTTGATAATCCTGCATACCCCCCACTGTTTGGACCAATCACAGGAGGGTGTAGTGGGGTGAGAGAGCCGGGAGGGATTAACTTTCCCTCCTCTCTCCCCCACTCCTCTAATGTCTCTTTCCACAATGACCTTAACCCAGATGGGGACAGCTCAAAAATCCCCTCCAGACAGGTCCTCACTGTACACAGTGATATATTGAAGGTTTAGCAAAGGTTTAGCCCCGGTTTATTCCTGATTTAGACCTGCTTTAGACCTGATAGACACCTGCTTTAGACCTGGTAGACACCTGCTTTAGACCTGGTAGACACCTGCTTTAGACCTGGTAGACGTCTGCTTCAGACATGATTTAGACCTGGTTTAGACTTGGTTTAGACCTGGTTAAGATCTGGTAGGGACCTGGTTGAGACCTGGTTTAGACCTGGTTCAGACCTGATTTAGACCTGGTTTTGCTTTCATTTGCTCCATCTAAGTCCTTCACTGTTGCATTACACAAAACCAGTTTTGTCCCGTTTTATTCCACTCTTTGTAGGACATGGTTTTGGTCTGTTACTGGGACAGTTGGTCTGAATCTGGTAGGACAGGTTTGAGGAAGACTCAAAACACAAACTGTCAGATTAATGTTTATGGTGTGTCAGTCAGAGTTCAAACACGTCTGTACTTTAGACATTTTTCTATATTTGGTAAGTACAATATGAAGGGGAAAGCTATGCAGGGAATAAAAATCTGATTGGTCAACCCTTGAACGTCTCATTCAAGATTTGACCAATCAGAGTCAGAAAGATTCACAAAGACACTATCACAATAAAAAGCAGATTTGGTGAGAAGGAAATGAGTATGGTACAAACGGTTACTGAGCTATGATAGTTTACTTTTCAATGTAAGAGCACTTCCCAGTGGGCTTTATTGAGCTAGCTTGTTAGCATTGTCCATTGACAGTCTATGCATTGTCCAGCAATATACAGTCTATGTTAGCATTGTCCAGCAATGTACAGTCTATGCATGGCACTGCCTGTATACTCCATCTATTGTCCATATTGTCCATTCAAAGACATTATAACTGCTATTTACTAATTTATTTAAAACCACTTTGTTCCTGACCAATTTCATACAACATTCCCAGACTCCGCGGTGAATCCGGTGAGCCCAAACCGCACAGACCTGCTCCGTAACTTTAGCGTTTGTGTACTGGTGTGAGAGAGATGATGCATTGCTCAGATAACCGGAGCACACACTGGCCTGCATTGTCTCGCTCTCACCTCCTTTTCCTCATGACTCAAGGTCACGCCTATTCAACTTTATCAAGGAGGAAGAGTCCTGAAGGTGAGGAATCTGCTGATAAAGCTGCAGGATGGACCAGAGATACAGCAGATTGGGCAAAAATGTGTAAATAAGGCTTTGCGCAATCACACCGCACTGCTAGCAACAACATTTTATGGCACTTAAATGAAGTTGCTCTACCAACACTTTTCTAGCACAGTGAATACAATTAACTGGACTTCTACACAGCCTGAACCTCTAAACCAGGGGTCTCAAATCAATTTACCTTATGAATCTGGGGGAAGCTGGGCTGCATTTAGAATTTTTATCGCCTGTGTTTATGTGTCCAAAATCAATGAACATGCAGAGATTCTCTTCTTATTCTTTAACATTAACAGTAAATCACGTGATCGTTTGGGCTCAAAACAGAGACACAAACAGGAAAACCAAGAATCAAGCCTTTTTGGAAAGTTTTATAGTCCATTGTTTGTAACTGTGACTTTTTATAATTATATTTGAGAGCACGGATGTAGAGCCTACATGTGTGGTCTAAGAAATATGAGACTTGGTTTAGTAGTTTTGTGTTGTGTGTATCTTAATTATTATTGTATGTATTTTTGTCATTATTTAAGCAGTAATCGAAACGCAGGATTCCAAGCGGCCACCTTGTGTAGCTGAAAGTATATCTTGCGTCGGTACCTTGTGATTTTTGCCATGGCGATAAACCATCCAGTCCTCGCCGTTGGTGCTGACTTCGAGTTTGAACGACGTGACGAAGTAGGACTTCTGCGTCTCCTTGGAAACGGCCCCCTGCGTGGCGATTCCGGTCAGGACTTTGAGGAAGTGAAGGTCCACCTGCAGAGAGAGACATGAAAGAGTCTCAGCATTAACACATTGACATTGACACATCATTTAAAATCGGACTGTTGTAGTGGGAGCAGCCTCTGCAGTCAGAGCTCTAACATGAGCTTTGGGTAATAACCCTGTAGGTCCAGGCCGAGCTGGTACTAAAGTCTTGTAACTCACAGTGTTTGGCTGGCTCCAGAGTGCTGCCGGAAGCCATGATTACCAATGAACTTCCCCAGATACATGGGGGTTATGGGTAGGTTGCTGGTCTACGGTACCAGATAATAGAGTAGGGTAGAGTAGAGAAGAGTAGAGCTGGTGGAAACAGCCCTATAATCAATATTCAGGAACAAAGTACAAACAATGTTGTGGATTCTGCCTAGCAACAGTCTGGATGTACAGACCAGACAGATTACGGATTACAGTTCTTCCTAAAGCCTTACGTTGTCTGTAGACTGGATTATCAACATGTGGAATAACAGCTGGAGTTTAGTGCCTTTATGTCCCATGGAGCACGCTAACCATGTGAGTACTGACCATGAAATGCAGCTGGTCTGAAATTTACTGTCGATACCATAATTTGTACAGTGGTCTTCACCAACCAACAGCGCCGCTAGTATAAAATGGACCACGGCAGTAACTGAGAAGTAAACTTTAGTAAACTTCTCTCTCTCTGGCCTCTCTCTCTGTGGTCTTTTTCTGTGGACTCTCTAGGGTCTTCCAGAGAAGCCTTTCAAAGCTTCAACCGCGCTCTGACCTACAACCAACAGGTTTGATACCAGGTTTGTGTGGTGAGGAGTTTTAAAGTATTAAAACATAGAGTATATACAGATGGACAATGCTAACCTGCCAGCTCAATTAAGCCCAATAGCGAAGCGCTCTTGGGAAAAGTTATGTCCATCTATACACAGTCTACGGCAGTAATCTTAGCCTCTGCAGTTACAGACAGGATTATTGAACCATCCAGATGTTAAGGCAGACATGACAGCTGTAGGAGCCGGTGGGGGGCCTTGAGGGGGGCCGACACGATTGGCCCCCCACCTCTGAGAGCCATGAGGCCATCTACTGTTTAGACATCTGTGTTTCTGCAGCAACAGCCCAAGATCAATGACTGTGATGTCGCACTCCATTCCCACAGACACTGTTCATCCATCACTCTGAGATCCTCCTCATCCTGGTGGTTCAGAGGGGAGAGAGGGAAGAGAGAGAGGGTAGAGGAGAGGGAGAGGAGAAGGAGAGAGGGGGAGGAAGAGAAGAGCAGAGGGAGAGAGGGGAGAGGGAGAGAGAGGGAGGAAAAGGAGAGCAGAGGTAGAGAGGAGAGAAGAGAGAAGGAAAGGGAGAGGAGAGGGGTGATGAAGAGGAGAGCAGAGGGAGAGAGGAGAAGAGAGAGAGACTGGAAACAATATAGCTCCTGTGTATTCTTTCACCTCTTTCATCATCACCTCTCACACCCTCTGTTGTAGCAGCAGCAGTACAGTATTAGCAGGAGTAGTAGTTGTAGTAATAGTAGTAGTAGTAGTAGTAGTAGTGGTAGTAGCAGCAGCAGCAGCAGTAGTCTATAATTTTGCTTATTTGGTGCTACTTCTTCTTTCCGACCCAGATTACAGTTCCATTACAGAGATTAGAGCAGATTACTATTTCAAACACATATTAACAATGTATTGATATGATTTAAACAGACATTGATGCAGCAGCAGCAGCAGCAGCAGCGGAGGAAAAGCTTCCTGCTGTTTGTGAACCATACGCAGATTGCACAGCAGTAGGAGTAGTAGTAACAGTAGCAGTAGTGATCCCAGCAATAGTAGCAGCAGTAACAGTAGTAGTAGTAGTAGTTGTAGAATTAGTAGCAGTAGCAGTAGCAGTAGTAGCAGGGAGGAGAGGGTTATTGCTGTTTTTCATAATTATGCAATTTTGGTGCATAGACAAACACTAGCGTTTTAAATTATGTTTGGTCTTTTTTTTATGAGCGCTAAATGAGAGTCTGATGTTTTTGACCACAAACATCGGGGCAAATAAAACCAAAAGGGGAAGCAGAAATACTGTAATTTCTGGACTATAAACCGCTACTTTTGTCTAGTTCTTTGAAGTCTTTGAAGATCTTATATAGCAATGCGGCTAAAAGGTGTATGAGAGAGACCAGAGACAGAGAGAGAGATCAGAGGGAGAGGCCTAAGAGAAAGACCAGAGAGAGAGACGAGAGACAGAGACCAGAGAGAGAGATCAGAGGAAGAGGCCAGAGAAAGAGGCCAGAGAGAAAGAGGCCAGAGAGATACACCAGAGAGAAAGGCTAGAGAGAGAGACAAGAGAGAGAAACCAAAGAGAGAGAAAGAGACCAGAAAGAAAGAGATCAGAGAGAGACCCGAGAGAGAGACCATAGAGATCGAGGCCATGAACACTTCCCCATTGTGCTTTATTGAATTCCACACCTGTATAAACTCCTTGTTGCTGTCCTCTGACGGCGTCCAGGCGTTGTCGTCGTTGTTAAGGCGAGCCTGCCGCGGCAACCAGCGATTATCGTAAAACGTAGTAGAGGCAGAAATCTGGTCATCGCTGATTTTACCCGACTCCATCCCCAACGCCATACTGCAGTGGAACGCTGAGGGGGGAAGGATACTGCAGTTTAGAAGTAAGTAATCTTTATTTAGATACCCCCTTTCACAGACAGACTAATTGGGCATTTGTCTCTCAATTCACACAGAAATGGGAGTGAGGTTGCCAGGACAGGAGGCGTATGCCAGACCTATTGTGTATGTTTTTAGTGGTAGGGGTAACCGGAGCACCTGGAGGAAACATACGCAGACACGGGGAGAACATGCAAATCACTCAGAGAGGCCCTGTTCCGAACTGGATTCGAACCCAGGATCTTCTTGCTGAGAAGCATGAGTGCTATCCACTCAGCTACTGTGCCGCCCGTAGAAGTAGAAGTAGAAGAAATAGTATCAGTTGTAGCATTAGTAGCGAAAGAAGCAGCAGCAGTAGTGGCAGCAGTAGCAGTAGTAGCAGCAGTACAAGTAGAAGTAGTAGCAGTAGTATTAGCAGCAGTAGCAGTAGCAATAGCAGTACTAGTAGTAGCAGCAGCATTAGTATTAGTAGCAGCAGTAGCAGTAGCAGTAGTAGCAGCAGTAGCAGCAGTAGCAGCAGTAGCAATAGCAGTAGAAGCAGCAGTAGCAGTAGTTGCAGTAGTAGCAGTAGTAACAGCAGCAGCAGCAGTAGCAGTAGTAGTAGTAGCAGTCGTCCTGCTTCACTCACAGTCGCTGACTTCTTTCTGGCTCATATTGTATCGAGCAGAGAATCCGTCTTTGGCGACGGCCATGTCTGTGTGGAAGGACAGCGACAGCAGAGCGGACGACGAGCGAATCTCCGGTGGGATCTTTGTGCCGCAGTATCGACCAATTAGAGGAGAGACTGAAACACAAAACCGACTAATCAGAAGAAAGACTGGAACACAGTATTGACCAATCAGAGGAGAGACTGAAACACAAACAGGAAGTGAAGAAGCCAGCTAACATTGAGCATTCAGGGAGTCTAAGTTTATGGTTCTGGTTCAGTCCTGGTTCAGTACTGCTTTATTAGTCTCTATTTAGTCTCTGCTTTAGAAGTCTCTACTTTAGTCCTGCTTTAGTTTCTGCTTCAGTCTCTGCTTAAGTTCTGGTTCAGTCCTGCTTTTGTCCTGCTTTAGTCCTGGTTCAGTCCTGCTTCAGTCCTGCTTTAGTCTTTGCTTCAGTCCTGCTTCAGTCCTGCTTCAGTCCTGCTTTAGTCCTGCTTTAGTCCTGGGTCAGTCCTGCTTTAGTCCCTGCTTCTGTCCTGGGGAAAACTTGGTTCAGACCTGGGTCAGTCTTGGTTCATTTGAAACTTGACATTTCAAAGCAAAGAAAATGCAGTGAGACTAATCAGTGTTTGTGCGTCTTGCATTCTGTAAATTGCAGTTTGTGACCGAAGATTTTTCAAAATTGAATGCGGAGAATTTCCAAACCACACGAGCCGCAGTGACCTTTGTGCCGACATTAGCTGGTAAATTAATATCTTTAAATGAAACAGGTTCTTTCTGCAGCAAGAACCTAATGCTCAGAACGCAAAGTGATTTTGAGCAACGAATGGGGAAAAGAATTAATGACCAGAGAGACACCAGAGACTACAAAGAGACCAGAGACTAGAGAAAGAAGAGAGACTAGAAAGATACTAGAGACTAGAGAGACACCAGAGAGGTACAAGAGAGTGACCAGAGAGACGAGCTAGAGCAGTGTTTTTCAACCAGTGTGTCGCGGCACACTAGTGTGCCGAATGATATTGTTTGGTGTGCCGTGAGAAATTCACATACTTTTTTCACATACTGTCTAAAAATAAATGCAACCAGCGTTGGCGAGTGCTGACTTGTCTTGAACTATAGAGTAACCACGTAATACTTTTTAATATCAGTAGGTGGAATAATATAGCTAAGTACTTTGAAATGTAAGAATTGGACGTAACAACCAAATGTAACAAGTAGACAGAACCATAGACTCGTGTTCAGGACCATCTCCTGTATCTCCCCCGTATAGTAGTTGAGGTAGTTGAAGCGCAGGCAAGCTGCCCGCAGCCTGTTGCCTGCAGCCTGTTGCCCGCAGCCTGTTGCCCCCCTTTAAAAATTTCCCCACTGTGGGACAAATAAAGGAACTCTTATCTTGTGTCTCTCCCATGTCTCTTGCCGAAGCGCAACCAAAACTGCTGAATTTAAAGCTCGGATGCCTAAATCTTCCCCATGCATTAAAAATGCATATTATTTGCGCACAAAGGTAAAATGTTGTGAACAAATCAAACAGAACACACAGCAGGCCATTTGTTAAATTATCATTTTTCACACATAAGAGCCATCTGAGTCATTATTTGACTTTTTGGGCAGAGAGTGGATTTTTTTATGTTTTTTTTCCACACAGTTAGTGCCACTTTATTCCCAAACTCTTGTTAACATATTGAGAAATATTAAACCAAGCTTAATGTCAAGGCCTGGATTCAAGCACTTAGATGTGAATGACTTTATATTGTAAATGTAGGCCACAGAGTGTTTATTTTTGTATTCTCTCCTGGTGGTGTGCCGCGAGATTTTTTCAATGAAAAAAGTGTGCCTCGGCTCAAAAAAGGTTGAAAAACACTGGGCTAGAGAGATCAGAGAGAGACCCAAGAAACTAGAGAGACCAGAGAGACTAGAGAGAGACCAGAGACCAACCAGGGAGATACCAGAGACAGAGACACTAAGAGACTGAAGCAGAGACTATAGACTAAAGCAAACACTGAAGCAGAAACTAAGACCCTACACGGAGACACTGCGGAGATGCTGCAAAGCAATTTGCAAAAACGACCAGGTACTGTTTTCGATGTGGGAAGCGTCTACACCAGTGTTTTTCAACCTTTTTTGAGCCAAGGCACACTTTTTTCACTGAAAAAATCTTGCGGCACACCTCCAGGAGAAAATGTAAAAATGTATACAGTACTAATGTAAAAAAATATATACTGTACATACTCTGTGTGATATATAAAGTATATCTTATCTTATAATGTATACAGTATACTATACTCTGTAGCCTATATTCACAATATACAGTTATTCTCATCAAAATGCTTAAGTCCAGGCCTTGAAATTAAGCTTTATTTAATATTTCTCGATACAATTAACAAGAGTTTGGGAATAAAGTGGCACTAACTGTGTGGAAAAAAACTAAGAAAATCCACTCTCTGCCCAAATAGTCAAATAATAACTCACACAAAGAACATGCATTGTTAGTGCATGGGAAACATTTTGGTATCCGAGCTTTAAATTCAGGAGTTTTGGATGAGGGACACGGGAGGTCCTGAACGCGAGTCCATGGTTCTGTCCGGTCCGCATGTCTGTGGTTCTGTCCACTCGACTACGGTCTGCGCTCGGTACCCAGTTCAGAAGTGCGTTCGCGAGAGCTGTTGTACAAAAATCGTACATTTCATAGTTAAACCACTACAACGCGGCCACAGCTACCCCGGGGCAGAGCGGAGGATGTTAATCCTGTTCAGAAACGGCATAATTCATTTTCAAAAACGTCTCTATCACTTTCACTTCTCACTCGCCACACAAGCTCTTGTCTCGCTCCCTCCCACATTTGTTGGTCGCATCCAATTTTACCTTTCTCGCCACAATGCTGACCTGTTACAGCCAGTGGTCGCATCCAATTTTTCAGTTTCAAAGTACTTAGCTATCTGCTGCCATCTACTGATTTGAAAAAGTATTACATGGTTACTCACAGTTCAAAACAAGTCACCGCTCGTCAACAGCGAATGCAGCTATTTTTAGACAAAGTAGACAAATTTCTCACGGCACACCAGACAATATCATACGGCACACTAGTGTGCCGCGGCACAGTGGTTGAAAAACACTGGTCTACACAACGCCGGAAAACGATGCAGTTCTAGCGCCCGGCCAATAGGGGGCCGTTTTTCAACGCTTGCTTTTTCTTTGTGTAAACGAAAGACCGATACCCAACTTTAACGTTTTACTGTTGCAGCGTCCTCATGTTAACGGCACATCAAGCAGAGACTATAGACAAAAGCAGCTCACAAAGACTCTCTGTGGAGGATTAAAGTATCCTCTCGAGTATCCGTCTTCATCCCACCCCCAAACCCCTCCGTCTGGTCGGCTCTTTTTGCCTGCAGCTCTCAGTCACTCAAAACTGGGTTACTCTTTATTCTCCTAATTCTCACATAAAACGGGATAAATTGTTTCCGAGCCATCAAAGCCCCTTCCAAATTCTCAACTATAATTGGAATTTTAAATCCTGTTTGGAGTGAGAGAGGAATAATTAGGGCAATATCCGCTGTCTGTGAAGGACTTTGGAGAGTCTCTGTAGAGCATATTTCAAGTTGTTTTGGTTTTTGCAAATTTAAATTACTGTATGTCGTTTCTGAGTGGTGATGTCCAGTTTCCTGGTTTTGTCCCGTTTTAGTTCTGTTTGTTCTCAGTTTATACCTGGTTTATTCCTGGTTGAGTCCTGGTTTGGTCCTGATTTAGACCTGGTTTATTCCTGGTTCAAATATGTTGTCTCTGAGTGGTGAAGTGGTGAAGTCTTGTTTCCTAAAGAGACTTCCTCTTGTCAACACTTCCTGATTGGTGAAGACAGGGCTCTTAGCTCTGTCATTTGCACCTCCAGAACAAGCACACTAAAGGGCAAAATCAGAACTGAATCAGAGACTAAACTAGGTCTAAACCAGAACTGAACCAGGTCTAAACCAGACCTGAACCAGGTCTGAACCAGAACTGAATCAATATTTTTTTAATATAGTGTCAAATAGGACAAGCCTTGAATTTAAAAAGCCTGGTTTTAATCTAGTAAAGTCCTCTGATAACGTCGGTCTGTTTTGGACCTAGTTAAGTCCTGGTTTAGTCCTGGTTTGGTCCATGGTTTGGTCTTGGTTTAGTCCTGGTCCAGTGCATGTGTTGTCTTGTTTGTTCTCAGACCTCCTCCCATAGGTTTAAAATTCAAACACAGATCCGCAATCAGGGACTTTCACTCAAGCCTTTAGGGAGGAAGGAACTGGAGCGATAAGGAAAGGACGATAAAGGGAGCTAGGACACTTCTGTAGGAGGTAGGAGACATCTTCGGGGGCTAGGAAACGTCTTTAGGAGCTAGGAGATCTGCCGAAAGAAGTCTGCTACCTCCTGAAGACGTGTTCTACCTCCTAAGTGTCCGAGTTCCTACAGACGTGTCCTGGCTCCTACAGAAATGTCCTTGCTCCTAAATAAGTGTCCTAGCTCTTAAGAAGTGTCCTAGCTCCTACAGAAGTCTCCTAGCTCCTACATAAGTGTCCTAGCTCCGAAAGAAGTGTGTGTTGAGATTTCCTCTTCATAAACAAACTTGGAGAAGCCGGATCCGTTCAAAAGGCCAAATGTCTGCGCAGGAAATCTCACTGTTCTGTGGGTGAGAGCGAGAGCGAGTCTGCTCCCAGGTAATTATCTCGGATCTCGTCTGATTAAAAAGACTTGGACGTCTGGGACAACAGGCTGAACAGGATCTAACTGTTGTGTGTGTGGAAGTCTGAGACAAAAGTGGACCAAAGCTAATCAAAGAGGACCAAAGCAGACCAAAGTGGACCAAAGGAGACTTGGATGATATACTGTTTTATGGGCATCTAACAGAAGCTAATGTAAGGATAGCTCAGAGTTAAAGCTTCGTTACCTGAGCTGGATATACATAGCAGGAGTAGTAGTAGCAGTAGTAGCAGTAATAGTAGTTGTAGTATTAGACATGTCTGAAGTGACATATCTCAAAATGTGAAAGTTACAAACATTTTGTTCATGATTGAGACCCTCTAGAACCCTCTAGAAATCTCTAGAATCCTCTAGAAACCTCACCTTGGGGCAGTCCGTCCCACACGTCCAGCCAGTCGTACTTGCAGTCGCCCTCCCCCACCTGCAGGGGGTCGTTCTCCAGGTCGAAGGTGAGGAAAGTGAGGGTGATGTCCATGAGGGGAGAGGCCAGGATCATGTAGGAGCACTCCAGGTTGTGGGGGTACTTGTCCGGGAATCCGGGGGACTCGATCATTCCGGAGGCACTGCTGAAGTTCCGGAAGCAGAACTCCGACCCTGGAAAACACACATAGCAGTCAGCAAATCGCAGAGGATTTCAAGATGTTACAACCAGCCAATCACAAAGAAGTATATTACATAACTGGCTATACAAACAGCAGAGGATGTTGTTGAATATTATACAAATCAGGCTCATGGTTCAACAAATGTATTCTTGTATCACCTAGGGCTGGGCAATAAATCGAATTTAGGCAAGTAATCGGATTTTGAAAAAATTGAATGTGAAAAAATGCTAACATTTTGAAATCGAATGAAGGATATTGTGAGAGTTCCAGCCGCACATGAATTATACTTCCAATATCAGCACAGTCTGTCCAAGACTTTTATAACACGTATTTGGGGAAACAAGTTAAAACAATTGTTTTGAAACTTGAAATTGAGCGGAATGATCAACAATTATTTTTAAGGGCAAAGTCTGTCTTCGGCGACTTTAATGAAAATCGATTTAAAATTGAAAATGTCCAAAGCAGGAAATAAAATTGAGATTTCACTTTTTTTGCCATATCGCCCAGCCCTAGTATCACCCTAAATCACAACAAAAGTCATCTCAGAGGACTTAGCAAAACCATTGAAATTGCCAACACAGATGAGATATTCAAACAGTTCAAACACAGAGAATGTAGAACATTTAGATATTGTTCCATAGGGAGAGACCTATGTCCATTGGTGTGTCTCTAATTGCTCTAGAGAGGTGGCTACTGCAGTTACAAGTACTACTGAAACTACTACTACTGCTGCTATTGCTACTACTAAAACTACTGCTACTGCTCGTACTTCTGCTACTACTACTATTACTACTACTGCTACTATTGCTGGGTTGCACCTGCCGTCAGGCAGCAGCGCGAAAGTCCTCCGAGGGACAGGAAGTAAATCTCTCATTAAGAACAATGTAAAAATTCACTCATTACGAGTCAAAATGCTCTTTTTCTGTGGCGTGTACAGTTGTGGCAACTGCTCAAATCAAGTGGGGAACTTATTGAGTCTCTATTTTGCTAAAATGTATTTCACTAACGGGTGTTGATTTATAGGAAAATGCCTAAAAAGGAAAGGAATAAATGCGTTAGCATTAACATTAGCTTGGGTAGCATCCGCGGCCGCAGACACAGCCGCTGTCTTTACTTTGTAGACTTTCATAGATACAATGCAGTTGTAGCAACCAAGGCAACAGAGAGAAAGAACTGTTGAATACATTTTTAATGCCAAAGGTCGTCTCAAACCAACATGTACATGCATAACAAAGCTAAAAGCAGGCTCTACAATCTTAAGTCTTCTCACATATAACCAAGTCACTGTGTTATAAGAGTCATTGTTCATCGTTATTCCCACGACTGTGAGGACCAGGGTAATGTCTGAAGTTGTATTCGAACTCTGTGCCCCTAGGACGCCTGCGTTCATTTCAGCCAAGCCCCGGCAATCCAAGATGGCGACGTATTCAAATTAATGGTTTGTGCTAAGTGGGGCATGTGCCGGCACGCTCACTGACATATTAGCGGAACTCGCCATATAACTCGCTATATTTGGGCATCGTCTGGTCCTCCCGGTTCTGAGCAGTGGATGATCTCCCATGATGCGTTGCGCCAAATACGCGTGTGTGGCTCTCATGCACGTGCAGAGAGGGGCTCTGCCGCGCTCTGACCAATCAGAGCTGATGATCAGAGCATAGCTAGAGCTGGAGTTTGTGGCACTAAAGTGCCGAAGAATTTAAGGATGACAAGGAACACAAAATCCGACCTTTATGAAAGCTGTAGGTTCTCTGTCATTCAAACTCTACAAGGCATGCACTGTTTTGAAAGAACCTACTCAGCAATTACTACTGCTTCTACTACTGCTGCTGCTGCTGCTGCTGCTGCTGCTGCTCCTGCTCCTGCTGCTGTTGTTGCTGCTGCTATTACGTGTTTGACTCCTGGTGACTTTCAGAGGTTTGGTGTAAATATGGAATAAAAGTGTTTTGTGGGAGATAAACCGTGTCTGTAATCGCTCCAGAAGAGGTTGTTCTCACAGTCGTGCATCACTGACACACACACACACGGACAACGCACAAATGCCCAAGACGCAGAGGAGAAGGCGAGGATCTGAAGGAGCTAATGGAGCTTTGGTTAAGTTCACTGATTTTGGAACAAACAACAACAGCATGAGCTGAAGCCGCTCAAGTGCAAACAATACGAGTTTGATTCATTCAAAGGACAGCTTCAATTAAAGCTCGGGTACGTAAATTTCACACCACAACCTCGCTCTAAAACACTCACTTCTATCACTAGTTTTTTTATATTGTTTGCCTCTGTCACTGCTTTTTCAGACAGACAGATAACAAGGACTAAACATGGACCAAGCCAGGCCTAAACTAGACTAAACCAGATTAAACCAGGTTAAACCAGGTCTAAACCAGGACTAAACCAGGACTAAACCAGGATTAAACTAGGACTAAACTATAGGACAAAACCAGTTCTGGACCATGCAGGTCAAAGCCAAAAGATAATGTTTTCTATAAAATGAAGAAAGCATATGGTCTGATACACACACATACACACACACACACACACACACTTTTACACCGCTCATAATGAGGACTGGTGCCAACAGGAATGCACCTTGTCTGAGCCTATATCACTGACTCTGCACTGTGGCTGGCGGTAATAATCCAGATTATTTCACACATTAAATATGTTTGTGAGAAGTTAAATCAGATGCGTTCCTCTATGGCGGCCTGAAAAGGTGGTCACCGACAGTAAGACAAAGGCCGAACAAAGCATGTGTGTCGCTGCCGCGGATCATATGAAGACATTTGACAGAGTAAATATAGCGCAAGGCCAAGGCAACTAAACTTAGAGCTGTGAGGAGACCGGAGACCTCCCACTCTGGCATCTACAAACACACAATGCTGGATTTCACTGGCTTCAAATGGATCAGGACTGTACCTTTTCAATAACTGCATATATTTTAAACTGTTTCCACCAGCCCTACTCTACTTGACCGTGCTCGACTTGGCTCGGCTCTACCTGGTTGCGTTTAATGGCAATCAAAATAATTCTGCATTTGAGATCATTTGTTTTTAAATTTCCACAAAATAAAAAAAGTGCATTTCTTTTCGAGTTTGAACATTTTAGTAGGGAGGTATGAGGTAGGAGGAGGTAAATCCTGAGTGTGATGTCATTATTATACAACCTGGAATCAAGTTTATAATCTTAGTTTGGTAACAAAAATGACCTAAGAAATGTCAATATTTTAAAGAAAGAGTTTGAGAATTGAACCAAAAAGTCAAGAATTTTTCAAAAAGTAAATAAAGAAATGATTTTAAAAATTACCAAAAAAATTTACCAAGGAATTTGAATAAAAAGCTTAAAAATATCAAAGGAATTCCAAAAGATGACAAAAAAAATAGCCAATTACAAAAAGTGAATAATTCTTAAATATAATAATTCTGAGTAAGTTTCAGTGAAGTATATTTTTTTCGCTTATAATGTGATTGAAGACAAGCCTCCACCAATAGAAAAAAGTGCCCAAAGCAACACTTTTTGACCTTCATTTGTGCCAAAATGCCGGATGGGCTTAAAGTATTCTACACATATTAAGTCATATATGTTCAATACTCGTTAATGTAAGTATTCATTAACTTAAAAAAGTCCAATGTGATGCAACGTTAGCATAACCCAATCTATGCTATATCTCTGGAAGGTTGTTTTTTAATGGATCATCAGAGAAAAGCACAACATAGACAATTCCAAGAACAAGATTACAATAAATTCTGTTTTCTTACCATTAATTTCCATCTAAAATGTAACTTTTGAGAGTAGTTTTTTTTGCTTTTCTGTACTATTACTCGCTTCCCAGTTTTGTCCTTGTGTTGCGCAGCCTGTTGCTCCATTTGCATGCGAGCGTTGTCTTTGCCTCGGAATATATTAAAACTCGAAAAAATGCGTGTGATGTTAAAAGCGCGTCTCAACCTCTGGTGCCGCCTCCCACACGCCAATGCATCAAAAAGCAGGCGGCCGTTTGTTCTACACAAAAACAGCAGCTCAAAAATGGAGGCATTACCATTCTACTGCTGAAGGGTCGCGGATAACTTCCTAACATAGGGAGTTATGTGTAAGAAATAGCCAAATAACATTGGGGGAAAAAAAGACAAAACTAGGGCAAAAACAGGTCCAAACCAAGTCTTAATCAGGTCTACACCCGGACTAAACCAGGTTTGGACAAGGTCCTAATATATGTTTGCTTTAAAGGAGAACTATCACACATTATTTTTTGTCATTTAAAATCCTTATGATTTTATGATGTTAGAGCAGCGACTCTACTCCAAGCTCCTCCCACGTGTGACTGAGCTCCCAGCATCACTGCCAAGGAAACTAATTTAGCTCATTTGAATCCGCAATCTTTTCCTCTTGACCTGTTTTTTTTTTTCAACCTGTGTTTAAATGCCAACAGCAGGAAAGGTTGGTGTGTAGTTTGGACCCGTGTTGGCGGGGGAACGACAAGGACTGTCTGACTTGAGTAGTTTTACAATCTTCTTCCCCTCAACCACATGTACGCAAAAAACATTCTGGTTTTGGCAAAGAGACTAGGTCGCAAAGCGGGTTAAATTCCCATTTATTTTGACCCTCCAGCCTGTGTTGCTCTGAATGCGAAGGAGAGGTGCCGTGGGGTTTTTGGGGCAAAATTATTTTATTTTTTCACTGCGGGAATGAGCATTTTGATTTTATTATAAACACCATTTGGAGAGGGAGGGGTTCTTGTTTTCATCTTGCTCACTGACTGGGCACTAATAAGCATTCACTCATGCATAAGCACACACTACTGCAGCGGCACGAGGCGAAACCAAAATACGTCTTTCACCACGAGGAGTACCACCACTACTGCTACTGCGTGTGGGCGTAGTACTCCCCTCTGAGCTCGGATTAGTCTGAGTGGGACTGAAGTGGGAAGTGGAGCAGTGGAGGAATGAATGGAGGTTCTGGTTCGAATAGCAGCTGTAAATATGTACACAGAAAGTTGTCTGTATA